AGCACGGCCAATCCACCCTAACCTGCACATCCCTGGGCACTATGGGGCAATTTAACACGGCCAATCCACCCTAACCTGCACATCCCTGGGCACTATGGGGCAATTTAGCACGGCCAATCCACCCTAACCTGCACATCTTTGGACTGTGGGGGGAAACCGGATCACCCAGAGGAAACCCACGCAGAAACAAGGAGAACTCCACACAGACAGTCGCCCGAGCTTGGGAGTCAAACCCAGGTCCCTGGTGCTGTGAGCCACCGTGCCGCCCACTGGTCCTGGCCTATCCAAACCCTCCATTCCCGGCAACATCCTGTTAAATCTCTTCTGAACGCTGTCCAGCTTAATAATATCCTAATAACTGGGAGACGGGAACCGGACAAAGTACTGCGGTCTCTCACGCACTCCTTAAACATCTATTGGTGGTGTTTGTTGGCTCCACCGTTGGTGGCCATGTTTTCAGTTGCCTGGGGCAACCGAGCTCTGGAATTCCCTCTCAACTCTCTTTAAGGCATGGCTGATACGCTCCGTCTTTGACAAAGGTTTGGCGTCATCAAATGTTCCGTGAAGCAACTTGGATCTTTCCATTGTGCTATGATCATCAGGTGAAGGAATGTTGTTGATATATCTGACATGACTGTAAGGTGCCATTTTAAGGTTGTGTAAGTAACTTGCTTTGCGGTTCGATCGAAAACCAAAAGAACCGCGCACACTGTCAATCAGAAACCAAGGACAGAAAATCAGAGTTAACGTTTCGGGGTCGAGTGACACCCTTCCTCACAATGGGGCAGCACGGTGGCTCAGTGGTTAGCACTGCTGCCTCACAGCACCAGGGACCCAGGTTCGATCCCACCCTCGGGCGACTGTCTGTGTGGAGTCTGCACATTCTCCCCGTGTCTGTGTGGGTTCCCTTCGAGTGCTCCGGTTTCCTCCCACAGTCCAGGGATGTGCGGGTTAGGGTGGATTGGCCATGCTAAATTGTCCCATAGTGTCCAGGGATGTGCAGGTTAGGGTGCATTGGCCGTGCTAAATTGCCCCATAGTGTCCAGGGATGTGCGGGTTAGGGTGGATTGGCCATGCTAAATTGCCCCGTAGTGCCCAGGGATGTGCGGGTTAGGGTGGATTGGCCGTGTTAAATTGCCTGTAGTGTTCAGGGACGTGTCGATTAGGTGGGTTATAGGAGGATGGGTCTGGGTGGGATGCTCTGAGGGTCGGTGTGGACTTGTTGGGCCGAAGGGCCTGTTCCCACACTGTAGGGATTCTACGATAGAACTGAGGAACTCTCTCTGCCCGTTCTGAGGAAGGGTCACTCGACCCTGAAGCGTTAACTCTGACTTCTCTCTGCGCGGGTGCTGCCCAGACCCACTGACCTTTTCCCAGATAATGTCTGCTGCGCGGCCCCAAGAAACCTGGTGGAGGTGGAACAGGGATTCGAACCCGGGACCCTGCGTTCAAAAGGGTGATTGCCCAACGCACTGACTGAGCTACCTGTTAAGAATGCAGTTGCAATGGCTCGGCGTGAAGGGAGTTTTTTTTTGTTTGTTTTGCTCGCCGGGGAAAAGAGGATATATGCTGACTCTCCTGCCTTTCTTTCGCTCCCCCCACCCTCCCCGAAATTCCGTGCAGGATAAGTTGACGTTCCCGCCAGACGTCAGCGACGTTTCTGAGGCCGCCCGGGATCTGATCGCCAAGCTGGTGTGCAGCAAGGAGAAGCGCCTGGGCCACATGGGCATTGGGGACCTCCAGGGGCACCCCTTCTTCGCCGGCATCGACTGGCAGCACATCCGCGACTGCCCCCCACCCTACATCCCCGACGTCACCAGCCCCACCGACACCTCCAACTTCGACGTGGACGACGACGCGCTGAAGACGGCGGTGAGGCGAGGCGCGGCGCTCCCCGTGTGACGGGTCGCGGGCAGGGGTGCGCGCGAGGGCGACCGCGGCTCGGCGGTAGGTGGCTGGGCGGCCGACCTACACCCCAGCCCCACTGCGTTTGCGTAGTGCCGTAGTCACGGAGCACTGCGAGGGGTCAAGAGGCGGCAAGCCGAGAGGCCGATTTCGGAAAACGGAGCAGGACGAAGCCATTCAGCCCGCACTGTCCCTGTCCCGGAGAGCGTTTGAGGGGACGGGGGGGACAGTGTAGAGGGAGCTTTACTCTGTATCTAACCCCGCGCTGTCCCTGTCCTGGGAGTGTTTGATGGGGGGACAGTGTAGAGAGAGCTTTACTCTGTATCTAACACTGTGCTGTCCCTGTCCTGGGGAGTGTTTAATGGGGCGCACAGTGTAGAGGAAGCTTTACTCTGTACCTAACTCTGCCGTGGATATGTTTGTCCCGCCCATTAAGATTTCCCACGTTTATACCTGAACCCGTCATCTGACCATTACTCACTAAGAGCTGTCACTGTGAGGGGTCCGTGACTTTACTGCTGATGTGTTTCAGGACTCGACCATTCCTCCCAGTCGGGGTGCGTTCTCTGGGCTCCACCTGCCCTTTGTTGGATTCACATACACTTCCAACTGGTAAGTTATAACCAGAGCAGAAATTAAGCCTGACCTCCCCCCCCCGACCAGGACCTGTCCACAATCAACAAGGCAAAGGGCAGGAGTGTGAGGGAATACTCCCCACTTGCCCCTGGATGGGGGCAGCCCCAACAACACTCGAGACGCTCGACACCATCCAGGACAAAGCAGCCCCCGCTCGATTGGCACCACATCCACAAACATCCCACTCCCTCCACCACTGATGCTCAGTAGCAGCAGTGTGTACCATCTACAAGATGCGCTGCAGAAACTCACTGAGGATCCTTCAACAGCATGGACTTGGTGCTTTTTTGTTCCTTTGTAGGATGTGGGCTCTGCAATGTAGGCCAGTATTTGTTGTCCGTCCCTAATTAGCCTGAAGAAGCTGTGTTGAGCTGCTTTCTTGAACTACTGCAGGTATGTACATGTCTGTAGACCATTAGTGAGGGTGTTCCAGGATTTTAACACCCAACCCCGACCCCAGCCGATATAGTTCCAAGTCAGGATGGTGTGTGGCTCGGAGGGGTAGTTGCAGGGGGGTGGTGTTCCCATGTATCTGCTGCCCTTGTCCTTCTAGATGGAAGTGGTCGTGGGTTTGGAAGGTGCTGTCTGAGGATCTTTGGTGAGTTTCTGCAGTGCATCTTGTAGACGGTACACGCTGCTGCTACTGAGCGTCGGTGGGGGGAGGGAGTGGGATGTTGGTGGATGTGGTGCCAATCGAGCGGGGGCTGCTTTGTCCTGGATGGTGTCGAGCTTCTTGAGTGTTGTTGGGGCTGCCCCCATCTAGGGGCAAGTGGGGAGTATTCCCTCACACTCCTGACTTGTGCCTTGTAGATGGTGGGACAGGCTTTGGGGAGTCAGGAGGTGAGTTACTTGTGGCAGGCTTCCTAACCTCTGATTTGCTCTTGCATCCACAGTATTCATAAGGCTGGTCCAGTTCAGTTTCTGATCACCCTAAAATGTTGATAGTGGGGCATTCTGTGATGGTAATTTTATTGAATATCATGGCAATGGTTAGATTGTCTCTGACTGGAGATGGTCAGTGCCTGGCATTTGAGAGACATAGAGTTGTACAGCACAGAAACAGACCCTTTGTTCCAACTTGTTGATGCCAACCAGATATCCTAAATTAATCTAGTCCTATTTGCCAGCATTTGGCCCATATCGCTCTAAACCCTTCCTATTCATATACCCATTCAGGTGCCTTTTAAATGTTGTAATTGTACCAGCCTCCACCATTTCCTCTGGCAGCTCGTTCCATACACGCACCACCCTCTGTGTGAAAAAGTTACCCCTCAGGTCCCTTTAAATCTTCCCCTCTCACCTTAAACCTATGCCCTTTAGTTTTGAATTCCCCTATCCAGGGGGAAAGACCTTGACTATTCATCCTATCAATGCCCCTCATGATTTTATAAACCTCTATAAGGTCACCCCTCAGCCTCCGACGCTCCAGGGAAAATAGTCCCAGGCTATTCAGCCTCTCCCTGTAGCTCAAACCCTCCAACCCTGGCAACATCCTTGTAATTCTTTTCTGAACCCTTTCAATTTTCACAACATCTTTCCTGTAAGCAGGAGGCGTGACTGTTAATTATCAGACCAAAAAACCCTGAAAACTGTGTGCAGTCATCAATGAATCTCCCCATTTCCGACCTTATGGTGGCAGGAAGGTCATTAATGAAGGAGCTGAAGATGTTGAGGCCTAGGACACTACTCTGATAATCCTGGGGCTGAGATGATTGCCCTCCAACAACTGCACCCATCCTTCTCCAAGCTAGGTATGGCTCCAAACTGCCAAGAGTCTGTAATTTTACCAATTTCTCAGTTATGTGGGCGTTCCTAGGGGTCCTTGACACCAGACTCATATCCACAACCTTTTCCATCATTTTGCTGATGATTACGAGAAGATTGATGGGGGGGCTGTAATTGGCCAGGTTGGATTTGTCCCACAGAACATACCTGGGCAATTTTCCACCATCGCAGAGTCAGCAAGTCATGTAGCGCAGACATAGATCCTTCAGTCCAACCAGTCCCCGCTGATCATAACCCCAAACTAAACTGATGTCCTTGAGGGGGGTGGGGGGGAGGGGGTGGGGGGTACTTGGTAGAGTGGTCCGGGTGGGTAGTGTGGCAGGGGGATGGGTACCAGAGGAGGGGAGGGCAGTAGATGCAGAAATTGAGGGAGAGGTAGATACCATGGCAAACATCACTAAGAAGAAGAACAGGCAGTGGAAACGTTGCTTAAAAGAGCAGGGCAGGTAGTCTGGAGAGTGTGTTTCAATGCGAGAAGTATAATAGGCAAGGTAGATGAACTTAGAGCTTTGGTTAGTACGTGGAACTATGTAATTCTTGGAATTACAGAGATTTGGGTGAAAGAAGGGCAGAGCTGGCAGCTAAATGTCCCAGGATTTAGATGTTTCAGGTGTGACAGAAGGGGATGTAAAAGGAGTGGGGGAGTTGCATTACTGGTAAAGGAGTATCTCACAGCTGTACTGAGGGAGGATACATCAGAGGAATCTGGGGGCGGCACGGTGGCTCAGTGGTTAGCACTGCTGCCTCACAGCGCCAGGGACCCGGGTTCGATCCCACCCTCGGGCGACTGTCTGTGTGGAGTTTGCACATACTCCCCGTGTCTGCGTGGGTTTCCTCCGGGTGCTCCAGTTTCCTCCCACAGTGCAAAGATGTGCAGGCTATTGTGGATTGGCCGTGCTAAATTGTCCCCATAGTGCCCAGGGATGTGTAGATTAGGTGGGTTATAGGGGGATGGGTTTAGGTGGGATGCTGCAAGGGTCGGTGTGAACTTGTTGGGCCAAAGGGCCTGTTTCCACACTGTAGGGATTCTATGACTTCCTTCTATGACTTCAGGACTCGCGCAGCGAGGAAATACGGGTAGAACTCAGGAACAGGAAAGGTGAAATCACAACTCTATACTACAGACCTTCCAAAAGCCAGCGGGAGACAGAGGAGGGAATATGTAGACAGAGATTGGAAAGATGTAAAAACAGCATGGTGGGTGATTTTTAACTTCCCCTATATTGACTGGGACTCGCTACATGAAAGGGGCTTGGCTGGGGCAAAGTTTATAAGGACCATTCAGGAGGGATTCTTGACACAGTATGTAAACAGTCCAACCAGGGTAGGGGTTATATACTGGAGCTGGTTTTGGGAAATAAGCCCGGCCAGGTGAGTGAAGTTTGAGTGGGGGTGGGGGGAGCACTTTAGCGAGGTGATTTTTTAAAGACACTCTTGGATAGGCATAACAGCAGTCCTCGGGTGAAGGTGTCAAATTTGGTGGGGGGTTGGGGGGGCATCTACAGTAGTTTTAGGTAGGAACTGAAGAATTTTGATTGGAGGTGGCTGTTTGAGGGTCAATTTCAAACGTCAGTTGATAAGAGCAGCGCGTTCCTGCGAGAACGAAGGATTGGTATGGGCAAGTAACTTGGATGACCAGGGATGTTATGACCTTGGTCAGAAAGAAATAGGAAGTATGTGCAAGGTCTAGGGGGATGGGAACTGACAAAGCCCTTGTAGTATATAAAGAAAGTAGGAAAGAACTTAAATAAGGAATTAAAAGGGGTCATGAAACATCGTCAGCAAACAGGATTAAGGAGAATCTCAAGGCTTTTTATACAGATGTAAGAAGGAAGAGGGTAGCTAGGGAAAGGGTTGGCCCACTTGAGGACAAAGGAGGGAATCCATGTATGGAGCCAGAAGAGATAGGCGAGGTCCTAAATGAATACTTTGTGTTTGTATTCACCAAAGAGAAGGAATTGATGGAGGAAAGAACTCAGGGAAGGAAGCTTCGAGTTTCTAAACCAAGTTGCTTTTAAAAGGAAGAGGTGCATGTCTTAAAAAAGTATTAGGTAGCCCAAGTCCCCAGGTCCTGATGGGATCAATCCCAGAATATTGAGGGAGGCAATAGAACAAATTGCTGGAGCATTGACAGACATCTTTGCATAATCTTGGGCCACAGGTGAGGTCCCAGAGGACTAGAGAATAGCCAATGTTGTCCCACTGTTTAAGAGGGGTAGCAAGGATAGTCCTGGAAATTACAGACCTGTGAGTCTCATTCAGAAGCAAATGGACTTATTAGCGATAGACAACATGGTTTTATGCATGGGAGGTTGTGCCTCACTAACGTGATTGAGTTTTTTTGAAGAGGTGATGAAGATGCTTGATGAGGGAAAAGCGGTTGATTTTGTCTACATGGATTTCAGTAAAGCCTCTGACAAGGTCCCTCATGGCAGACTGGTACAAAAGGTGAAGTCACATGGTATCAGGGGTGAGCTGGCAAGATGGATACAGAACTGGCTTAGTCTTAGGGGACAGAAGGTAGTGATGGAAGGATGCTTTTTGAAATGGAGAGGTGTGACTGGTGGTGTTCCACTGGGAACAGTGCTGGGACCTCTGTTGTTTGTGATCTCCATAAATGAGTTGGAGGAAATCGTGACTGGTCTAATTAGTAAGTTTTCAGATGATACAAAGATTGGTGGAGTTGCAGATAGTCAGGAGGATTGTCGGAGGATACAGCAGGATATAGATCAGTTAGAGGCATCGGCAGAAAAATGGCAGATGGAATTTAATCCAGACAAATGTGAGATAATGCATTTTGGAAGGTCAAGTACAGTTGGAAATTATACAGTGAATGGCAGAACCCTGAGGAGCATTGATATGCAGACGGATCTGGGTGTGCAGGTCCACAGATCACTGAAGGTGGCAGCGCAGGTAGATAAGGCAGTAGAAAAGGCTTATGGCATGCTTTCCTTCATTGGAAGGCGCATTGAGTGTAAGGATAGGCAAGTTATGTTGCGGCTTTGTAAAACTTTAGTTAGGCCACATTTAGAGTATTGCATACAGTTCTGGTCACCACATTACCAGAAGGATGTGGATGCTTCAGAAAAGGTATAGAAAAGGTTTACCAGGATGTTGCCTGGTATGGGGGGGATTTTAGCTATGAAGAAAGACTGGGTTTGTTTTCACTAGAATGCAGGAGGTTGAGGGAATGACCTGATAGAAGTTTATAAGATTGTGAATGGCATGGATAAAGTGGAAAGTATGAGGCTTTTTCCCAGGATGCAGGGTTCAATTACTGAGGGCACAGGTTCAAGGTGCGAGGGGGGATGTTTAAAAGAGATGTGCGAGGCAAGTTTTTCACACAAAGGGTGGTGAGGGCCTGGAACACATTGCCAGAGGAGGTGGTGGAAGCAGACACTATAGCAGCATTCAAGAAGCACCTGGATGAATACATGAATAGGAAGGGAATAGAGAGATACAGATCCTGTAAGTGAAGACAGTTTTAGTATGGAAGGGCAAAATGTGTCAGCACAGGCTTGGAGGGCCGAAGGGCCTGTTCCTGTGCTGTATTGCTCTCTTCTTTGTTCTAAACTGGTCCCACCTGCCTGTGATTGACCGATATCCCTCCAAACATTTATGATTCATGTGTTTATCCAAATGTCTTTTAAACGTTGTAACTATATCCACATCTACCACTTCCTCTGGCAGTTCATTCACACACGAACCACCCTCTGTGTGTACACAAAAAATTGCCCCTCATGTCTTTTTTTAAATCTTTCTCCTCTCACCTTAAAAATATGTCCCCTAGTCTTGAAATCACCCACCCTAGGGAAAAGACACTTACCATTCACCTGATCTCTTCCAACCTCTTTCATCAGGCAGAAAAGCTTGAACACAGGTTCAGGAACAGTTTCTTCCCTGCTGTTATTAGACTCCTGGATGGACCTCCTTAATTTCAAATCTAATGTTGATATCGCTTTTGTGCACCTCCTGTGCAGCCATAACCTTTTATGCCTCATTCTGTCCAGGTACCCCATGATCTTTGCTATGATCAGCTTGCACTGCTCACATACTTTCACCATACTTAGGCACATGTGAAAACAATAAATCAAATCAAAGGCTCAAATCAAATCAAATCTACACCCCTCATGATTTTATAAACCTCTGTAAGATCACTCCTCAACCTCCTAGCTCTGAAATCCCAGCCTATCCTTACAATTCAAACTTTCATTCCTGGCAAATCCCTTCTGAACCCTCTCCAGCTTAATAATATCCTCCATATAGCAGAGTAGAGGCCAGTATAGTATTTGCAATGGAAAAGCTCCACTAAGGGCATTTTTTTTCCTCTTATTTGTTCACAGAATATGGGCATTGCTGGCTAGGCCAGAATTTTTTTTTTATTGATTCACAGGATGAGGGTGTCGCTGGCTATGCAGCATTTATTGCTCATCCCTAGCTGCCCTAAGAGTTGACCCCATTGCTGTGGGTCTGAAGTCACATGTAGGCCCAGACCAGATAAGGATGGCAGTTTCCTTCCCTAAAGGGCATCAGTGAACCAGATGGGTTTTTCCCGACAATGGATTGTAGTCATTGTTAGACTCTCCAGATTTCTTTTTGTGAATTCAAATTCCTCCATCTGCTGTGGTGGGATTCGAACCTGGGTCCCCAGAACGTTACCAGAACAGTCCAGCGATAATACCACTAAGCCACTGCCTCCCCTGCATGCCTAACTTTGGAGCGTAAGTCTTTGGTATTGATAAGGCGCACAGCCTTTGCAGAATCCAATGGCCTTTGAGTATTTCTTGATGTCAAATGGAGTTGGCAGTAGACTGGCATCTGGGCACCTCCAGAGGGAGGCGGTTTGTTTTGGGCAGGGTGGGGAGTTAACGCTTCATGTGACGGGGTTTCTCCATCTCCTACAGCTCACTGTCTGACCGTGGCTGTCTGAGAGATACATGGGCCACCACTTCACTTGACAACCGGGAAGCTGAGGCATTCGAGAAGCAGATAAAGCAGCTGGAGTTGGACAAGAGGGACCTGAACCACAAACTTCAAGGTGAGAATTGGAGGTGGTTTATTTTCACATCCACAATCTGGAACTTTAACTCCTTCATTGTTACAAATTCCCAGTGGGAACCGAATCAAATTTGTCCAAAGTTTGCCTAGGAATCCCAGACTCTTGGGCTATCTGCAAGAGATTGATATTAAATCGAGGGGTTCGGGGTGGTTTATATATAAAATAACAGATACCCAGGAGTCAGTTAAAGACTGGAATCTAATCGAGGAGTTCGGGGTGGTTTATATATAAAATAACGGATACCTGGGAGTGAGTCACAGACTGGAATCTAATCGAGGGGTTCGGGGTGGTTTATATACAGAATAACAGACACCCCGGGAGGGAGTTACAGACTGGAATCTGACCGAGGGGTTCAGGGTGGTTTATATACAGAATAACAGATACCTGGGAGGGAGTTACAGACTGGAATCTGACCGAGGGGTTAGGGGTGGTTTATATACAGAATAACAGATACCCCGGGAGGGAGTTACAGACTGGAATCTGACCGAGGGGTTCGGGGTGGTTTATATACAGAATAACAGATACCTGGGAGGGAGTTACAGACTGGAATCTGACCGAGGGGTTCGGGGTGGTTTATATACAGAATAACAGATACCCCAGAATGAGTTATAGACTGGAATCTAAATGAAAGCCTTGAGGTGGTTTACACACAGAATTCCCAGATGCCTGGGAATTCAGGCATTTCAAACTGTAGTGTAATCAAGGGGTTTGGATGGATTATATATAGAACAGTACATTCCAGAGAGTGAGTTACAGGATGGAGTCTCATCAAAATGTTTGTGGGTTTACATACAGAATAACAAACCCCTGGGATTGAGTGACAGGCTGGAATCTAATCAAGGGGTTTGTGAGCCTTATGAGTAAAATAAATTGTCCAGTGAGTTCTAGGCTGGAATGTAATTTTAATTAGAATAACAGTGTGAGTTGGAGTCTAATCCGGGGTTCAAGGAGATTACAGTAAATCATTCTCAGTCACGTGAGTATAAGGATGTTAACAGACTCACACTTGCTCAATATTGGGTATGCACAGCAGTGGCTATACCTCTGGGGTATTGCTGTGTGGTTGATCCATGATTTGTACCAATCCATCTGAGGAGTCCCCATCTGGGACGGGTGGGGGCAGGGGTCGGCATGTGATCTATAACCCTCTGCGACAATGGTTAACTTTCTCTCTCCGTGACAGAATCCCTGCAAAAAGCTGCAGCTGGTCACAGCAGCTCGGGGACAGCCAGGAAAGAATTGGAAATCAAAAGCTTGAAAGAAGAGATGCAGATCCTGAAAGCGAGACTGGCAGGTGAGCTCCAGGTTCACCATGTGACGAGAAATCTGGCAAATCGGCAAACTGCTGCTTTCACTGAACTTTAGCACCCAATGGTGTCGGAGGTGGAACATTAGCGTGGATAGAGGATGGGTTCGCCAATAGAAAACAGAGAGTTGGGGTGAGGCAGGGCGTGTTCAGCCTGTAATTAGTGGAGTGCCACAGGGATCAGTGCTGGGGCCATGATTATTTACAACGTGCATGAATGACTTATGGAGTCATGCAGCTTGGAAACAGACCCTTGGGTCCAACTTGTCCCGATAAGGAAAGCTAAAGTGCTATAGCCACGGTTGTGATTGACACAAGAATAGGCAAAAAGGCAAGTATTGAGGAGGACACCAAAGAGGGATATAAACCGGTTGAGCGAGTGGGCAGAAACTTGGCAGATGGAATATTTGAAAATGTGAGCTTGGTTGGAAGAATAGAGGAGCTGAATATTATTTCAATGGAGAACGAGTGCAGAAAGCTGCAGCACAGAGGGGTTTGAGGTGAATCACAAAAAGCTAGCATCCGAGTTCAGCAGGTAATAGGGAAAGCAAAAGGAATGTTGGCCTTTATTTCAGAGGGAATGGAAGATAAAGGTAGTGAAGTCTTGGTGAATCTATGCATGGTAGCAATTAGATCATATCTGGGATACTGTCAGCAGTTTTGGTACCTTCATCTAATAAAAGATATACTGGCATCACAAGACTGATTCCAGGTTTGGAGGGCTGTTCTTATGAGGGGAGATTGAGTAGGTTGGCCCTGTATTCATTGGAGTTTAGAAGATTGAGAGGATATCATAGTGAAACACAAGACTGTTAGGGGACTTGACAGGGGAGAAGCAGAAAAATTTTCTTCCCCCTTGTGGGAGAGTCGAAGACCAGGGGCATCACCTCAGACTAAGAGGGGGGCGGGGACGTCACACATTTCAACGGAGATGAGGAGGAATTTCTTCTCTCCGAGGGGAGTGAGTCTGTGGAATTCTATACCACAGAAGGCCAGTTGAGGCTGGGTCGTTAAGTATATTCAACACTGAGACAGGATTTTAATCAGAACAGAAACCAAAAGAACTGCGGATGCTGTAAATCAGGAACAAAAACAGAAGTTGCTGGAAAAGCTGAGCAGGTCTGGCAGCGTCTGTGCAGGAGAAAACAGAGTTAACGTTTCGGATCCGATGACCCTTCCTCAGAACTGTTCCACAGATACTGCCAGACCTGCTGAGCTTTTCCAGCAACTTTGCTTTT